GTCGAGCATTACATGCTTTGCAAAACTAATAAAGTTGTTGCTCTCACAGACAGTATAGATGTGCATAGGTATTGGATATATTGTATGTTTAGTATATAAGCTCTATATATTTTATTGCACCTAGTATACTCGTATTAATAACAAAGCCAAACACATGACAACCCTTTTACTTTGGTTCAGCAAGAGCTTAAATGGAAGAAATCACTTTTGACATGAGTTTTACCCATATAAATATATATTAATATAAAACTCACCTTCCTTTGCAATTCAATATCTTTAAATATGTTACAATATTACTCTACATCATAATCCAGAATCAGATAAACTGGCAAGAATGAATTACTGCACATGAATATTATAACACTTTTATAGGTACTGTATCTTACTTAAAACTCAGAATATGAATATGTAAATCCCTCGGGCTTAATAATAGTGGCAAAAACCTGTCCAAGTTCCATGCACAGTTTCTGTATTATCAAGATCTGAGTTCAAATGAACTTTATATAATTCCTTTAGAGGCACTGTCTACTGGCTTCGCTCTGTCAACACATGGAATGCATGCAGTCAAGTTATTGTTCCAGCTATTAGATGACTGGTTTCAAATTATGCTAACGAGTTATAAAACCGATACCCTAAGTACAAATTTACGGATAATGATGTCCGAAAATGGAGTCTATAGTTTTAGGTTAACGTGGTCAAAGAAATCAAAATACAAGTCAGACGAGATTCTGAGAAAGTTGTATAGGAAAGAAATAAGCAAGAAGCAATGCAAAAATGTGAAAGTAGGCAACTTTATGTAATAGTACAACACTAAATGAGCATTTAACATCAGGCATTTTACTTTGAAATATTTCTAGCTTAACAAATGTTGAATAAAATCTATTCCTTGACTTCAGACCCATCATTGCTTAAGATATAACTAACAATACCCCATTAACAGCAGGGTTTTTGGTATCATCAATATATAAACTGGATAAAAATATACATTTGAAGACAATTTCTCAATATAAGAACCTTCTCAAAGTAAAATAAATAGTTCCACATAAGAGAATGTTTGAACAGCATATATGCAAGAATGATAGCACGCATGTATGAATGATAGCAGATAACCACAAAGTTATATACAGTATATCTTTAAACATACATTAATATCAGTGCAAATAGAGGCCTGGGAAGGTAGTAAAATCCTCCCCAGGCTAAGTGCAGGACTGGACAGACTCGTTACTAAATGCCGCTTGCACAGGAACACAAGGTGAACCTAAAATCCACTTTTAAGACAAAAATATAAAAAAATTTAATAAATTTTCCAACTGTAATTACATGCATTACACTGCTAGATAGTACTTTAAATGTTTAAATGTTATAGGCATAATGGGTTATATCATTCTTAATAAAACATGTTGTATGAGAACCCCCATGTTGGATGAGAACCATGTTGGATGAGAACCATGTTGTATGAGAACCCCATGTTGTATGAGAACCATGTTGTATGAGCACCCCATGTTGTATGAGAACCATGTTGAGAACCTTGTTATCATTCAGAAGCACTATTCTAGGAATAGCAATCAACTGGCTGCAAAAGCATTCCTTGACTTATAAGACACTCGGCAAGTGCTTAATGCAATGGTACTTGTGTAGCTTCCTTATCCCTAAGTAAATAGACACAAACATATCTTAATTTGATTATGTAGAATACTTTACTATACTTTAGACTATAATATTTGTCTATAACTAATACAGAAATGCCAAATAACACAACACTATGCCACAATGTTAAGATATGCGAAATGTACTTAATATACAAACATACTAAATTAGAGAACTAGGGGACAGAGTCATAATAATTGAACTTGCAGGTAATAACTAATAAAATACTTTGTTAGACGACTGAAACAATGCTTATCAGTACTAAAAGCTACACATTATTCAGTGTTAGAATATGCTAATGTATAGATAATATGATCTACTGTATCAGTTATTAAAATTATAAACATACCCTGCCAAGACTGAAACTTTGGTTCTCAAGTTATAAGTTACTCATGTTTATGATACCAACAAAAATTATATGCAACATGTTAATACATACACATTTGTCTTATCTTGTAATGTAGAGTTTAAGATCACCTTCTGTCCCTGATTAAAAAGGCCACAACATTGACAAAAATGACAACGCCCACAACGTGTACTGGACCCTATGAAGCCCAGATGATGGTGCAGTGGGAACGGGGAGCTCCCGGGACACACGCCAGACCCAATAAGGCCTGGGTAAAGGTGCATGGGGGTTATAAATACTGTGCGATACAAGAGAAAGATAAGAGCTCACTTCTTGAGCTAAGGATTAGACCTAAGATTCTTTCCCACCCTCCTTTTCACTTTTCTTAGTTGCAACAAATATGACTATCCTCATTGCTGCCACAAATTGCTGCCTTCCTGAGAGCAAAATCCTTCCTGATATCGTCCCTAGGTGCAGTCAAGTTACCATCTGGTTCTGATTATGTACTTCCACAACATAGTAACCAATATACCTATTAATACACTGTGCGTTAGACACCAAGGAATATATTCTCGTCTTCATTGGTAACTTAAATCTTCTAAAAATCTGAATACACTAAACCATTAATACATAAAATGTATAACATCCTTAAATGTGACAAGAAATAGGAATACAGCCTTTCAGTTATCTCTATAACAACTATGTCAAATATATTTTACAAAACACACAAATATGCATTCAACACAAACCTTTTATATAAACAATAATCCATGCACACACTATGTACCTGTAGTGATTTATTGCGAGTAAATTATAGCACAGTTTAATCTAATAAGCTAAGAACTCTCCCTTTTGTAGTATAGCATGGTGTGAGTACCGACCAAGAACACTTGCGTACACTGCAAAATGTGAATGTGTGTGTCAGAGAAGTGTGTGATGTTTGGCAGTAGTGCATTCCATATTTTACCAGGATACCAATGCTTGGTAATACTGCATGTAATACAAGGGTTCTGAACACTTCAAAGTGACTATTAACGACAAAATTCATTAGTGCTCTGAAGGTTGCATTTTTTGCTTATATTCAAGTAAAATGCAGATTGATTATTTATAAGACACTTTTAACAATCTATTCGTAAATTACACTAATCATAAGGAAAATAGTAATGCGTATGCTATATAGATGCCACACGATAATACAGTAAATGAAAACAAACTCACTACAGTGTTCTTGTGATATTGAGACGCACATAACTAAAAAAAACGTTTAACAAATTACATGATGATTGGAGCACAGAAAGAAATCTCAGATAGCGATTGGAACAGAGTAGAGGGTTAGAGATTGGTATCGCACACACCATGCTAACACCTACAAACAGAACCCATAGTCAGGCTCTCTCTTTTTATCAATAACAACAACATGACCAACCACACAGGAATAACCATATGCACACACACACACACACACACACATACACACACACACACACACACACACACACACACACACACACACACACACACACACACACACACACACACATACACACTGACGCTGGAGGCTGAATGTGGAGGCCGACTCCATACACAGTTTCAAGTGTAGATATGATAGAGCCCGATAGGCTCAGGAATCTGTACACCTGTTGATTGACGGTTGAGAGGCGGGACCAAAGAGCCAGAGCTCAACCCCCGCAAACACAACTAGGTGAGTACTAGGTGAGTACACACACATATACACACTTTCAGTACACACACATATACACATCACAAAATATATACCTGGTATTAAAAATCTCATTTGTGTATTGTACCGACACTGTTGTTCACCCACAGTCCTCTAATGGCAAGCCTCTTAATGCCTCTTTTATTGAGTTGATAGTTTAAGGCATGATAATCAACTGAAAAAAAAAGTAGTACAAGAGAGTTTATTTGAGCAGTCTTAATTTTGTGTCCAATTATTTATATTTATGATGTTACTGATAATTGCAATTAATTATGATTAACTTTAAAAGTAAAAACTTTACAATAAAACAAAATATCACAATGTACTGCACTACTTTTTGCAATTACCTAAGCTGTAATTATCGTCAGAGTGCTTTTACGTACTATCTTAAATATATACTGTAATAGGATAGAATATAAAGTTTAAATTCATCCTTTTAATTGTACCCATAAACATGCTTCCAAACGTCGCCAAAAAACTGTGCGTGATGACTGTGTCGGCCAATATTCTGTAAATGCTATACAAACAATTACTTCATTCAATCATTCATTCATTCGCAATGAAGAAAATAAATATATAAATCAATATGTAAGTAGGTTGATGAGAGGAGAGACAATGGAACTCACTCCAAAGATAACTTCCTCCGACCCATAAAAACTACGATACTTTAAATGCAAGTAGGAATATTTCTTACCCTCTCGTTTCAATATTTCAAGACGAGGAGAACCACACTGAGTGTGATAAAGTCAATTTTATTTAATGTGACCTATATTTTTTTTGCACTATCATTGAGAAAACAAAAATATATATTATAATGACGTAAAAATGTAATTAACTTTGATCATTATTGTAAGCTTACAGTAATTCCTAACGACTCGGAATAAGCCACAGCACGGACGAGTCATTCTTATAGAGTTTTTGGTCATATATTATTTGTGTCTCTCACCGTTACAGAAAATATGGAATTAACAGGCAAAATAATTTCCCACATCAGTGGTAAACATTACGGCATGGCAGACATAGATCAATCACATTATCATAAACTATAGTAAAATATATAATCACCATAAAATTGTACTATAATTACAATATATATATTATATATATATATATATATAAAATCAGTCAATGATACTTGTACATTTGCACCGGCCACCACTGGAATCGTCAACACGGAACTCCTGGACTAGCCACACTTTGTTGCAAATGTGTATTAGGAGGTAGGCCATCCAAAATTACGTCCCATCATCTCATAGAATTGCTCATTAAAGGGGGCAAAAAACTTACGTAAACGAGACATTACTGCAGGATCAACATACGGATGTGGTCGACCCTTGGCATCTGTTAAACATTTTTGGAAGGTTTCATTTCTCATACAATAAAAACCTTTAGTCTCATTGAAGTAGAAATTATCAGGCTTTATATGGAGAGGAAGTCTTAAGAACTGTTGCACCTGAAAATGAAATATCAAATTAACGGTGCACACAGACATTTGAGTATTAGTGAAACGTTTACACACATACACACACAAATATGCACACAATAGTTCAACAGGAGGAAAGAAACCTTGAGAAAGAGATAGAAGACAAGAAAAAGCGGCGACATAATCACAACATACAAAAAGTGGAAACATGAATTGACAAAATTTTTAAGCAATTAAGTTTTAAATCTGCAATACTGTATTGAGAAGTACCAAAATACTTACATGAATACGGAATAGTAGATGGATGGAATAATGTAATAGAGAAATGTATGCCGAAACTCTCAGAAGCCATGACAAACTTTATAGTGAAGACGACACACCACTACCATAGCTCTCGCCCTCTTACTGCATTTAGGTGACTACAAACGAACGCACAGTACGTCATCAGCTAATCAAGAGTTCCTGATGGCTCCAGGAAATTCCTTATTAAAATATTCTGGGGCAAGGTTGGGTGGCTATGTGAATGGTGTTCTTACTGATAAACATCTAGAAAATCAAAAGTAATGAAAGAATAAGAAGAAAAGATTACAGGGTTGGCAAAAAAATATGTTTAAAACGGCAACACTTGTTGATCATGATTTCCGACTTGTTTTGAATGAGAAGGAATGATAGCTTAAATAATACATTATCATACATAGGTGACAAAAGGTACAAAAGTAAGAAATATCAAATATGAAAAGTATTTAAAAGTTAAACTACTGTAAACCCCAGAAAAAATAATATTATGGAGTTACATGCCAGACAGGTTTAACTGGAAAATAATCAGGGGATCCGAGTGTAAAATATCAATTAAAAAAAAAAAAAAAAAAAAGGAAAATTAGATTTTGACAAATCATGTAACAAATCTATAAACAGGAAGCCAAGATTTAATAAAGGCTCATGAAAGTGCTAGGTCAAATATAGATGTTGCTTCACGAGGCCAGTTGGACAAGAACATTTAACAGAGAAAGGAAGATTGAAGATATCAGATGAATATGGTTACAGAGGCAACAGAAAAGAGGAGAGAAGGTTACAGAGGCAACAGAAATAAGGAGAGAAGGTTAGAGAGAATAGAATCAAGGAGAGAAGATTACAGAGGCAATAGACGACATTAAGGCTGAAATGAAAAACTCGGGTAGCTAAAGAATGAAAATTTGATTTAAGGGAGGTATTTAGGTAAGACATAAATTACAGTGAACAGATGAACATTTGGGATGAGATTAAAAACACTGAACACAAATGAAAACTGGTACAAATGCAGTAGATTGAAGTTAATAATAATTTTTCATTGTACAAAGAAGGAAATAGTGTTGAAGATAGAAAAAACAAAAAAAGACAAGGAAGTAACAAACACTGAAGGCCTCACAACATGAATTAATTACCTACCAAAAACAATGAAATACAAAACAATGAGGTAATTCATGAAGCTATTAATCATTCAATTAATTAATAAAGTGAAACTGGTATCTTAACAAATACACACATGGTCTACTTGTAATACTGTATTTCCCATTGAGCTTGGATAAGTTCTTGTCCAAGCCAATGGGACGATTTAGAAACGGCACAGCACTTTCTAAAACTATAAAACGAGAACCGAACTAACCTTATCAATTTCAGTAAATGGATCAGATACAAGATTATCACCATCTATGATATGTATTTGCTCACGAGGAAATTCTCTCAACCATCGTAAGACATGCACAGCATACTGGCTTATTTGTATTGCTTTGAATCTGGAAGAAATTACAGTATTATTAATTATATATTACGGAAATATGTTTGTACAATGCTCTACATAAACTAACAAGCAGGCAATTTCACGGTTATTACCCAAAATCCCCAAATCACAAACTGACGACAATGAGCAGGTGACAACAGATATATATTATACATGTCCTAAAATTATGGACACCAGTGTTGCTTGTGGTATAAACAAACATTTATGCCTGGATTATGTAATGTGATGGATATCAAGACCATTGATACCCATTGGTTTTGATCATCCTTGCTTTTCAAAAGCAAGGATGATCAAAATCATGCCCAGCTAATGGAGGTAAGGAGCATTTTTCTTCCAATAAACTTTTCATTTTCATAAAAGAATCTAGCCTTTTAACAACATAAAGCTTTAATTTTAAAAAAATCAGCAATTTAACAAAGAAAAAGATCATTGTAATGAAATAGCACTTAATATGCACCTCAGAAGCTTCCAAAAGCTTAAGGCATTGACATCCCAAAGTGGCCACCATTATGTTTAGGAGATTTTTGGCCTACTGGGAGCCAGGATCAATATCTGCTGCCGCCCCCCCCCCACCCCCCCCCCCCCCCCCCCCAACCCCCCCAATAAGCTTCGAGACCGCATGGAGAATCAAAGATCAACCCACAATCGAGGTCAACTGCTCAAAAAGTCAGACAGCAAAGCAGAAATTTGAGCAACTACGAGAAAATAATACAAAGCCGAAACACCCATCTGTTAGTTGGCACAGGCAACTACACCTCACCAAGTTCTCTTTGCTGCCACCAGGTGGTAGCCAGGTGGCACTTGGTATCAGCCATCCACCCTCCTCACTGTCAACCACCAGTCCAGTTTCTAATCACACAGAGAAGAGAAAACAAGAGTAGGAATGGGAAAACATTGGGATGATGTGTAGGAAATGTAATTTAATTTCAATCAATACTATAATTTCTCTGCTGACGACTCATTAGCTCTACAGAGCTTTCCCCTAACAATGCCTTGGAGAGAAGAATGGCTTATCTGAATGAAAAGATAGCACCAAGAGACACCACACAGAAGCTAAGAAATGGCTACACAGAAGAAAATGAAGGGAAAACCCCAGGGGTTGGGGGTAAGAAATGAAGAGCCGTAGCAAAGTGTCAAATAATCTAGTGCCGACACTCGGACATAGAGTACTGTACAGCTATAACCCCGGTCACACAAGAGGAACACAGAACAAAATGGTCAACATTGCTAAGTGGCCCAAAAGCATATGACAGGAGAAACAGGACTGACATTCATTTAGTGGAACACCATCCCTCCTATTGGACGGAGCAGAGGGAGGCAGACTGAAGAACACTGTGGTCACAAACACACACACAGTGAGATCTAACCAGATGAACCAAACTTCTAAAAAGCAGCTCTGTCAAGAGGTGTAGTCTCTCATTCACAGCAAAAATGTAAAGGGTTAAATAGTACCCAAGCCAAGCAAGCATGATAACACACCACCACCAGCATCCCACCCAGGCAGTGAATGACATCCCTACATCCCCAAAGGCATCCAAGGTACCCAAGCCAAGCAAGCATGATAACGTACTACTCCAGGCATCCCCAGCAGGCAGTGACTGACAAAAAAAATGACCACCCATTGGCACTGCATGGTGATCTTAGGGTTGGCATGAAGGGCCTGTCAAGACTGTTGAGTGCATTTAATTTGAGCTTCCTATTGCACACGTTAACTGGAAGGTCTCCTCCAGTATTCCCTAGTATCAGTTTGGTGCTGGAAAAAGACGTCTGTTAAGTTCCTGTGGTGCTGGTGTTTTGAACGATACCCTTGCTTGACTGCAGAATTTATGGATATTTACCCTAGGAGGCAAACTAATGGATAGGCTCAGAACTATATTTTTCACTTGCCTTTCAGAATATTAACCTTATGCTGATAATTCAATGAAAATTAAATGCAGGCATAAACACTTGCCAACCTTTCTTAATTTTCATAGTCAATTTAACCATTTTTACATGCCTTCTCTTTCCCTTACCTGCATTAGCCAACTACTCATGCAGGCAGACATCATTTCAACTGGCAAATAATAAAATATCCAAGGAAAAATGGCAGGACATTTTTTGAGTAATGAAAAGTCACACTATGCCTGTACACAGGAAAAGGGCTCCCAAGGTAAATGTCCAGTTTTGGTCGAGATATGGCACACAGAATAAATAAGGTTTAGGGTCAATAATAAGTAAGGTTCAGAATAAATAAGGTTTAAGAGTTATACTGTATAAAAGTGCTTAAAACGATTCCAGTATAACACAACTCTTGGTGAATCAGAAAGAATTGGCAAGCAAGAATAAGTCTTGCTGGCATGAAATATAATGTCCTCGGCACCAAGCTGTCTTAGTAGACTGGTCAGACTTGGTATAATCTCCCTAAATATTAATTGAATCATGTTTTCATAAAATTTCATAAAAGGTAAACAAAAAAATTTTGGGGGTGTGTGAAAGTATTGATACCTCATGTACACCTGAGGATGACAAAGAGCATGGAGAAGGATGCCAGGAAACAAAGAAGCATAGACCAATTTAAGGTAATTATCAGAATAAAGTGCTAAGTCTGTGACTATATAGCACTTGTAACGAATACAATAAAAGAAAGAGAGCCGGAATATTACGATTGGGTGAAAAAAATGGTACCATACCACTTGGACCATTAAGGGTAGAACTTCAACCCTGTAGAATACATGACATACTCAATACAATACACTTAACAATGAATTAAAAACATATAGGAAAGCCAGTAACTTCATTAAAAAAAAAAAAAAATCTCGGGGAAATACCATGTGATGGTAGGAGAACCAGAAGTGTGACAGTATTGACCTCACTGGCATCTCGTTGACAAACATTGCCATCTGGTGACGTACAGGGAAAGTGGTATGGAGGTATTTTGGCCATTTTGAGAACATTTTCGGGTTTTGTTTGGTATTTGTACACACAAAATATTTCTTCAAGCACATTTCAAATTTCTGTAATATTTTCAGCTATATCAGAGCATTCTGACTCCCGTCAGTTCAAGCCTCCTTGAGGGGAGCAAGATTCTGGTACTTTACCTGCTCCTGACAAGTCATGAGATGGTCACAGATCTCTGGTGTTCTTGATTTGGCACTGGGGAATCAGAAAAGATTCCAAGAACTTGTTTTTCTAAATAAAATTAATAAAGTTTCTCACTATCACGCTCTTGTATGGTCAGTGAATCAACCTGTAGAACAAAACAATTTCAACACTAACCCATCATTAATTTCACCATCTGGTGTCAGCACTTTCTTGTGAAATGGGGCCACTTGCTTTCCTTTACGCATTTTGGCTTCCATTATTTGAGCATAGTCAGAAAGAACCCGCATCGCTGGCTCGCGGACGATCAACAACAGTTTGATAGTCTCATTCATGGCCCGTATTCTTGCCGGTGCCTCGCGAGATATGAAGTATGATGGGGTCTTCTCTATTGTAACCTACAGGAGGACATTTGACATCAGTATCAGGGTTTATTTGTTAAAAAAGTGTTATGATCATTTAGAAAAAACCAACGTTGAATGTAATGAAATGCCCTTTTCTGGGTGAGCCCCATCGGCTCCCTGGAGTTATCGGGCTAATGTGCAATTCATTAGACCAGATTCATTAGTCATAGGATTACAGCCTACTGGGTACCACGAGCCAGAACCTGGCCCCCCCCCTCCCCTCAGAGAGGCACAGGAAGAAATGGCCCTGGAAAACCCTCGTGGTTGGGGGGTTTTCCTCATCTTCCATCGACTGGAGTTAGGCCCCCACCACAAAACCTAACCAGTCTCTGAACCCTGGATGAATGGGAACGAGCCTGATGCCAACCCAACCCAAAGGGCGACAGAGGCATTTGAGCCGGTTCCTCCTGTCAAGGCTTCTGGGTCCCACCAGCAGGCCCCCTTCTTTTCTGCCTTTCCCCTGGACTTTCCTTTTCTTCATGGGTAGAGGGTATGGAGGACTGCTCTACCTCAAAAACCGAAAATCTGGATGACCCAAAAGGGCCATCCCCCAAAGCTGCCAGTCTCATTACCATCTAAACCCCGCTCCAACTCCGAAACCCTCAGATGTTTGGGAGTCAGAAGCAGGAGGCAGGGTGCAGGGTGAACAGGGGAAGGACCAGGGAGCGTAGACTAAAGAAGTGGAAGCAACTAATGCTCCCAAGTCCGAGTCCCTTTAACCAAAATGGGGCAGCCTCGGGGCATCCGGGTGGGCAACCAACCTAGCGTGTTGCAGCAACCAAAACCTAACATGCAACGCAGATTTCGCCTGTACCCAAACATCAATGTTATCAAAATGGGTAAACTGGAGAACATGCAGAGAACACAACTCGCAAGATTCTGGGTCAAAGGTGTCGTTGACTCAATAGGTAGCATGGCGGCGGCAAAGGTGGCGATTGTCACCCTGAGACAAGGGCACATAGCAACCTTCAAACTCGCACGAGGCGAGCTGGAACTTGGAAGACGAATTCATAGGTCTACCAAGCCCTGACAGGGTTTTTCAGGGCCCGTTGGCTGACTGCTATGGGAAGCCTGGACAAGGTCTTGCTAACCGGTTAGAATCAAAGCTAATAAGGGAGATCAAACACTGAAACCCCTGTGACGTGTACAATTACGGGGATGTAGCCAAGAGCCACCAAATTATTATAAGTGTTCTAATAGTCACACCAGGCAAACCCCCACCAGGCAAAGCAAAGACACACCAGGCAGACCCCCACCAGGCAAAACAAACAGAAAGAAAATATAAATCCCGCAAAATTACAACTCCCCAGAGAAAACAGGAACCGGCCGCTGCATAGATAGCTGGCTGCACAACACCTTAATGCCCCAACCAGCAATAATATCACTCCCTACCCAAGGCCAAACAGGGGCCACAAAACCCCAGCTGGCCCCAAAGGCAGGGTAAATGCTGAGCAGCAAGAACCCCTATGGAAATGGCTTCCCAAACCCACCAGAAAAGAGAACCCTGACATGCATGGGTAGTACTCACAAGGCACATAGGGAAGGCTGCCATAAGCACATGCAGACCCGGTACACTTCTGGTACACCTGGCCACCACACCACAACCAGCAGAGGACACCACGAAGGCAACACACTGCATAGGAAATCGAGGCCAGAGATGACGACTGCCCTGGATTGCATTAGCCGACGAATTGGAATGGTTGTGTCGCCAGCGCGGGGGGGGGGGGGGGGGGAAGCAGCTTAATTGTGCGGACAAGCAATGTGGTGGTGGAGCGTGACGTTTACTTTTCCTTGGGATTGGAGGGAATTCTGCCTCTCAGTTCGGTTTTCGGTTGCAATTTTCTTACCATGTGGGGTGTTTTGTTATGCCTATCTTTCTGGGTGCCTAAGCCCGGTCGATGGCAGATAAGGAAAACCCCCAACCACAGGGGAGTTTTCCAGGGGCCATTGCTCCCTGTGCCTCTCTGAGGGGGCCAGGTTCTGGCTCGTGGTCCCCAGTAGGCTGAACTCTTATGACTAATGCCCTGGTCTAATGAACTGCATATTAGCCCGATAGCTCCAGGAAGCCGAAGGGGCTACCCACAAAAACTACAGTAGTACTCTGCCTTCTAAAATGACAAGGTTTAATAAATTTAATCAAACATTTAATTTGTCATTAAAATCAAGTCTTGGTATTATAGTCCAGTGCACTGTGTGTTATAAATACCATGGAATGATCTAAACAAGAGCAAACTTAAGCACTGTTTATAGTCACCTGGTTATCAAAAGAATATGGCATCCTTTTCCTATACCACTCTAAGCCATTTGCATAACGTTCATCATCATCAAAGAAATGCATCTCAATTCCATTCTTCTGTACATGGGGATGTAAATTGAGCATTTCAATGAGGGCTCGAGTACCACATTTACGCACACCAATGATCAGAGCTTGAGGCAGCCTACGCTGGGTACCTCGAATACGGAGTCGTTTGCGGTAAGCCTCTGTTGTGACGGAATCAAGCCCAGTTGTCTCAGATGCTGCTGATGGAGCTGGAATTATTTTCTTGTCACTCTATCAAGACAAGCAAATTTGTGCACACACACCTTGTTATGATTCAAAAAGCAGTTGTTATGAAGCAAACTCGAAAAGCATTGAATAAATAATATAATTATTATTTATTTTAGTTAGTCTTTATCTTCTGTTAGAGTAAAAGGATTGATAATAGAGGAAATGTAAGTGACAAAGTAGGAAAAGTATGAAGGTAAAGATTATAAGCGTAAAAAAGCAGAATGAAGCAAGGGAATGCATGTGTGTGTGCTCTACTTACAAGAGCATCACTTACCATATACTGCAGCATCTCCCATCGGGAAGGTGTAGTAGAGAACGAGGCATACAAGCAATGATGAGAGAATAACGACGGGGGCCATCCGCCGCAGTGAATTAAGGGGTGAGAAGCTCTCGCAACGTCCCCCCATCAGTGGCCCCCTAGATGGCTTTCGTCCTGGGTTGTCACTCCATGTAACTTGATAGCCCTCAATCCCATAGGACATGGTTATCTCTCCATGCCACCTAAAATACATGCAAACTTGGTAAATATACAGTACCGGGGGTACTGTATTGTCTTTCAATTAAGATTAATTCATCTGCAATAGCAACATTAACAACTGGGGAATGTGGTTAGTACTGTATAGTTGGCTTACAATTCATTACAGTCATGTTTGATTCCTAGGCAGAGAGAGATTTTTGTGAATGTTTACTTACACCAGATGCCTCTGTTCACCTAGCAGCAAATAGCTACTTGGGAGTTAGGAAACTATTGTGGGTTACATTCTGGGTCTTATTGTCCCCCGACACTGTGGCTCCATGCAATCACCGCTACCACATCTCCATACCGGCCAGTCTGTTAAAGCTGACCAAAATTGATCAAATGCACAGAAAAAATATCTCAAAGCATAATTACTCCCCCCCCCTCCCCCCAAAAAACAAGAGAATATAATATCATTCAAAAGCAGCACAAAATGTTAACAGTATCAATGCCAGCAGCATTGTAAATCATAAGCAAATTAGCTCAAATAGTTGAACAACAGATCCTTCCACAATAAGAGCAAGAGGTGTCACAAGTTTACACAACATGTGATTTGATTACCCATCATGAATTCTGAGCTTTCCATTAGGCAGCCCTCTTTAGAGTTAAGATTTGCATTGGGGCTTGTTATGGGGTGATCCACCTTGGTGGTGGCATTTGCCTCTGCCTGTGGTGTCCCTCAGCCAGTCCTACTGTGCTTGAGGTACATTTTGGTGTTCGGCATGCCGCCCTGCCTCGGCCCCTCCTCTTCTGCCTCTGGTCAATGCACCATTGTGAGTTAGCTCGAGGAGCAACTGTAGAGGGTCTTCCAGAAATGAAGTACTGTATTGAAAGTAATTATACATTTTCAGCCTACTGTACAATGCAAGTTCCAACTGATAAACAGTTGTATTACAAATTCTAATATTAAAACAATGTAAATCATAACACAATAAAGTGCCATAACCTTACATTGAACTGGAAGGAAAATCTGGCCAAACACAAAATTATTAATGGTGACAATACAGAGCAGAACTGAATATTAATGAATGATGCAAAAAAAATGAAGCCAGCTTCCAAAAACTTCAGCCCCTTTACACTTTTGCTGCAATATATGAAATAAACTCTTAACTGTACAACATTGACCACACTTACTAGTGAGAGCAATTATAAACATTCAGAAATGAATTTATTCATCTAGTGCAGTATGTATTAAATAATATGTTATACAAACAGTCCCAAACTTATGAAAGGGATGCATTCCAAATTCATTTGTAATTCAACTGTACATAACTCAGAACACAATTTTCCCATAAACAAATTACTGGACCATAAAAGGGAGATGCGTTCCTGGATCACTAAAAATCAACATATAAAAAACATTTGGGGGGAACTGTAAGAAAACACTGCTTTTTATTTACCTTGAATGATAGAATTGTCCCACTTGTCTGGTCTGATGCTTTTTTGAAGAGCAAATCGATATAATTACTAACTGAGGAAGCAGTAAATGACGACGCTGCACAGATACTGGTGAACCACGCAAACACATTTCTTCATCTTATCGGCCACTGTTGAGCCACTTTTCTTTGATAAACTGAAATAATGCATTATACTTATCAGTCTTCTATAAACTGAAATAGTGCATTATGAGCACTGCTCATTATGTGTGAACTTCAGAATTGGACATAGTGCATAAATAGGGGATTTTGAAGTTGATCACAAGATCCTATGCTCAGAAATAATAAATAAATAAATAAATGTTTATTTAGGTAAGGTACATACATACAAGAGATTTTACAAAGATTGATGGATTTATAGATAGAGCTAGTACATACAATGCCTAAAGCCACTATTACGCAAAGCGTTTAGGACAGGTCTGGGGAAGTCTGGGAAGTCTGGGACTCCTGCATTTATATACAGTACTGTATACTGTATTAAAATACAAATACTGTAGATTGGTTCATTCTGCAATATTTAATAACTACTACACTAGAAACTGATTTTTTTGTGAATTATGAATTCTTATGAATTTTTATTTTTTTTATGAATTTATTTCAATGAATTATGTCCTCTATCTTAACTCAATTTTAAGCTTCTAGTCTAATTAGTCAATACCTTAAGAGATTTTCTTTTCAAACTTGTAGTTGGCAAATGGTATTCTGTACGTGTAATTCACTACATGTTCAACACTTAACTGGTACAGCAACTAATCTCTAATGGCACCTAACACTTGACTGGTAATTAATCTAATCTGTAATTGGACCTAACACTTGACCGGTAACTAATCTAATTCATCTAATCATCACCAGACCAATATCTGCAACAACACATGCATGGTATTGAGATTTCCCCATGAAGCAAAGCTGTGTCGGTTTTCACAGCACAATGTATACAGTTAGGTACACCAAACACAATATCCCTGCAGCCACACCACAGACAATATCCCTGCAGCCACACCACAGACAATATATCCCTGCAGCCACACCACAGACAATATATCCCTGCAGCCACACCACAGACAATATATCCCTGCAGCCACACCACAGACAATATCCATGCAGCCACACCACAGACAATATATCCCAGCAGCCACACCACAGACAATATATCCCTGCAGCCACACCAGAGACAATATATCCCTACAGCCACACCACAGACAATATATCCCTGCAGCCACACCAAAGACAATATATCCCTGCAGCCACACCACAGACAATATATCCCTGCAGCCACACCACAGACAATATATCCCTGCAGCTATACCAAAGACAATATATCCCTGCAGCCACACCAAAGACAATATATCCCTGCAGCCACACCACAGACAATATATCCCTGCAGCCACACCAGAGACAATATCCCTGCAGCCACACCAAAGACAATATCCCTGCAGCCACACCAAAGACAATATATCCCTACAGCCACACCACAGACAATATATCCCTGCAGCCACACCACAGACAATATATCCCTGCAGCCACACCACAGACAATATATCCCTGCAGCCACACCAAAGACAATATATCCCTGCAGCCACACCACAGACAATATATCCCTGCAGCCACACCAGAGACAATATCCCTGCAGCCACACCAAAGACAATATATCCCTGCAGCCACACCACAGACAATATATCCCTGCAGCCACACCAGAGACAATATCCCTGCAGCCACACCAAAGACAATATATCCCTGCAGCCACACCAGAGACAATATCCCTACAGCCACACTACAGACAATATATCCCTGCAGCCACACCACAGACAATATATCCCTACAGCCACACCAGACAATATATCCCTACAGCCACACCACAGACAATATATCCCTGCAGCCACACCACGGACAATATATCCCTGCAGCCACACCAAAGACAATATATCCCTACAGCCACACCAAAGGCAATATATCCCTACAGCCACACCAAAGACAATATATCCCTACAGCCACACCACAGACAATATATCCCTGCAGCCACACCAAAGACAATATATCCCTACAGCCACACCACAGACAATATATCCCTACAGCCACACCACAGACAATATATCCCTACAGCCACACCACAGACAATATATTCCTGCAGCCACACCAGACAATATATCCCTACAGCCACACCACAGACAATATATCCCTGCAGCCACACCAAAGACAATATATCCCTGCAGCCACACCACAGACAATATATCCCTACAGCCACACCACAGACAATATATCCCTACAGCCACACCACAGACAATATATCCCTGCAGCCACACCACAGACAATATATTCCTGCAGCCACATCACAGACAATATCCCTGCAGCCACACCAGACAATATATCCCTACAGCCACACCACAGACAATATCCCTGCAGCCACACCACAGACAATATCCCTGCAGCCACACCACAGACAATATATCCCTACAGCCACACCACAGACAATATATCCCTACAGCCACACCACAGACAATATATCCCTGCAGCCACACCACAGACAATATATCCCTACAGCCACACCACAGACAATATATCCCTACAGCCACACCAAAGACAATATATCCCTACAGCCACACCAAAGACAATATATCCCTGCAGCCACACCAAAGACAATATATCCCTACAGCCACACCACAGACAATATATCCCTACAGCCACACCACAGACAATATATCCCTGCAGCCACACCACAGACAATATATCCCTGCAGCCACACCACAGACAATATATCCCTGCAGCCACACCAGACAATATATCCCTACAGCCACACCACAGACAATATATCCCTGCAGCCACACCACAGACAATATATCCCTACAGCCACACCAAAGACAATATATCCCTGCAGCCACACCAAAGACAATATATCCCTGCAGCCACACCAAAGACAATATATCCCTACAGCCACACCAAAGACAATATATCCCTGCAGCCACACCAAAGACAATATATCCCTGCAGCCACACCAAAGACAATATATCCCTGCAGCCACACCACAGACAATATATCCCTGCAGCTACACCAAAGACAATATATCCCTACAGCCACACCAAAGACAATATCCCTACAGCCACACCAAAGACAATATCCTTGCAACAGTCCATCAAATTACCCAAAGCTTCGTAGCATTACGTAAGTAATGAAGAACTACGATATATTTACTCATTATAATGTAGTGCTGAATGTAGAACATGAAAAAACATGCAAGCGATGAGCCACAATAACGTGGCTAAAGTAGGTTGACCAGACCACACACTAGAAGGTGAAGGGAAGACGTTGTTTCCACAATCGACTTGAGAATGGTCCAGGACGGACCGAAACGTCGTCGTCCTTTCACCTTCTAGTGTGTGGTCTGGTCAACATGAAAAATTTTTTTACTCAGAAATAATATAATTTTATAACAAAATTGGGTCCATCTATTTACCCAATGTTATAATATGTCATATTTCTTCATATGCCCTACCCACTAAACCAAGATGAGCTAAAAGCATTGCAACATCCGAGCACTGACAGGGACAAGAAAGGTGGGGAACATCACTAAAATCTCGCGTGTGGGACAGATTTCTTGTAAAATTTGGATTTTCATCCCAACTGGAAAAATGTTATGAAACTGGTAGAATGTCCTTTACTAGAATGTCCTTTACTTTTAGCTCATCATGGTTCAGTAGGTAGTGTGTGTGTGTGTGTCTGGGAAGTCCAAGGATGCAAGATCTATGCCATTACACGGCCCTTCCCCCACTCCCTCAATATTTTCTCATGGATGCATAATGTTAAGAGAGATTTTATGGTGCTTAAAATAGGTAGTCTGGTTTAGTGCTTATTCTCTCTATATATCTTGTTGCATACATATATAATTATTACATAATAGGCATGTACCTAGTAGATGCAAGGCAAATCTACAGTACACTGAAGTGACACGTATATCATAGACAAAATTACCAGCATCCGTAGTTTTTACTTCAGCCACACCCAGTAACTTGCTAGTTCTCACCACCGTAACTATTATAGTTCCCCTTTGACAACCTTTCTCCAGCTCCTGGCATCACACGAGCCTAGTGACAGATACCCACACACCACTTCATCCCACCAACTGATGCTGCACATCTCTACAGAGCCATATATAACCCGGCGTGACCTTCTCTCTCTCCCTGACCTCTCCCATGACCCCTGAGACACACGCATCATCCCCTCACAGGTGCTAATCATATTTACAGCATCTTACTATCATACTATCTTTAAAGATCCTTGAGAGTAGTCTCTGAGAGAGTACAAGAGCAGCGCCCACACAGTTATCTGCTAACCTGGTGTAGGGCGGCCCCCTGACGCAGCCTCCACAGGGATGTGTGTTCTGCTGGTGGCGAGGGGCCCACGGCTCCTGCAGCAGCAGCCTCTCACAGGGGCACCTCCTGCTAGTTTCCCAGGCAGGACTTGCCCCCTTCCCACCCTGGCCTCGACTCGCCTCCCATCACTCCCCCACAAACACTAATTCTACGTGTCCCGGCAGTGTCCGGGGTGCCAGGAGGGCCCACTGCCGCCGGCTCCCCGTCACGCGCCCGCTGCCACACGCCCCCACGCCCGCCTTCTCACCTTTACTCCCGCTCTATCCTCACCTTTCCCATCGATTTATATAATCCGTGTTGCTCTTTTGGCCTCTGGTGGAAAGATTTATTTGGCAAAAGGAAGGATAGGAATTGTATGTTGGGGAATATAAGGCAAATGGCATGATAGAAAATTTGGTTTTGAGAGAAAATGAGCAGCGCCATCAATTTGAATGGGTAACTTTGAGAGTTTTATATACTTGTGGTCGATCTCGAACCCATTGTTGATGTGACGACTTATACTGAATTTTGTAACTAGCTCATCAAGATTGTAACTTGCTTAGCTAAATGAATTGTGGGGTTCAGTCCCTGAGCCCATTATGTGCCTCTGTAACCCTTTCCACTACCGCCCACAAGATGGGTATCGGGTGCATAATAAATGAACTAAGCTAACTACACGTATGGCAACTATAGACGACTTTTAAGGCTGAATTCCGCGGTAGGACACGGTTTGGACAACGTTTGTTTTCACCTGATGCCTCTGCTCCCTTATCAGTAAAAGGTAGCAGAGACTTAGCCAACTGTTGTGGAATGCATCATGGGGAAGATGAGTATTTATATAGTTTTCCTGTCCTCGATAACGAAAAATATATCAACAATGATCAAAATGATCAATGATTTCAAGTGTGCAGAATGACCACATTGAAAATTTAACAGCTAGAGGGCTTTCGTTTTTGAAAGCAATTTGAAAGCTCTCTAGCTGTTAGGTTTTCAATTCTTCACTGTAGTCATTTTGCATTAATATATATATATATATATATATATATATATATATATATATATATATATATATATATATATATAGGTATATATATATATATATATATATATATATATATATATATATATATATATATATATATATATATACATATATATATACATATAGGGTACAAAGATGATTATCATAAGTTGTCGAGCTCCTCCAGCTCCTCAGATGGCGGGCAGGAACCCTGAATGCAGTGTGCATTTCCCCTCTGTATCGCCACTTTTTTTTCATTCATAAGCAGGGGGTTTGGCGGGGTGCACGGAATCACTTTTGGGTCTTTGTTTGGAGGACGGGTTGCATAATCTGGAATCCTGGGTTCGAATCTCTAACAAAAACAGTAGCCCGTCCTCTAAACAAAGACCCAGAAGTGATTCCATCCACCCGCCAAACCCCGTTTATAAATGAAAAACTGTTTACACACGACTCACAACTGATTTCGTTCGAACACTTCCGGAACAAATGCTTCACTGACGAATTTTGTTCGAACCACAATGCTATAAATGCAGCCCGTCCTCCAAACAAAGATCCAAAAGTGATTCCATGCACCCGCCAAACCCCCTGTTTATGAATGAAAAGCGGTTTACACACGACTCACAACTGCTGACGTTCGAACATATCCGGAACAAGTGTTTCACTGACGAATTTTGTTCGAATCACAACGCTGTAAATGCTTCACCCACGTACTACAAATACAAATAATCGCCAACAGAACCTAAACACCTAATCTAACCTATGCCTATATATGCACAATGTACTAATATCTTATAATATTAATTTTTATTTGAGAAAATTCCCGTTTTGAACGTACAGAATGTAAAAATTTAGGAATGCGTCTGTGGGGTCGACCGCTGGATGTAATGGACTTAAGTCGAAAACGGGTTGGGCTCAGGGGGGTAGAAATAGCCTAAGCTACTCTATCCCTTTGAGATGTATTTCTTTCTTATCTCAATAAACATACTTGAACTTGGGTTGGGCACGTTTCCTTAAACCTAATGCCACAGTTCGCCTATACACACAGACTGCCTAGCTAACCCCTGGTAAAACATTAATATTTATATTTATGTAAAAATAAACACTGGTATAGCATTGCTATTTGTTATCGTAACGCCACTATATAATCTGCAGCAGCATTATATATAAACTGAGTTATCATACACTCTCGAAGATATGATTTTTTTGTTTATATTATCATGATGTCGGACAACAAACACATTAATTGCTAGATATTCATGAAACAGGATCAATGTCCTGCCGGGGAAGTTGAACCAGCTTTAGGCTGTGCCTGTTATGTGATTTTCTCTTCAGGCCTCCTTTATATCTTGCTTCATTATATATTCAGTCCCATTATTCTGCAGGTCAGCGTTCAATCCCCGACCGTCCAAGGGATTGGGCATCATTCCTTCCCTCCGTCCCATCCCAAATGCTTATCCTGACCCCTTCCCAGTGTTATATAGTCGTAATGACTTGGCGCTTTCACCTGGTCATCCCTCTCCTCGCCTATTCTAAATTTATTCCTATTCTAAATTTGGTTCCCGTGGCGCAATGGTAAAACACTCGCCCCGTGTTTTACGAGCGCTTTGGCCTGGGTTCGTATTTTGGCCGGAGAGGATTGACTGGGCGCCAGTCCTTAACTGTAGCCTCTGTTCACCCAGCAGTGATTGGGTACCTGGTTGCTGAACGATTTGGCGGGTCGTATTCCAGGGAAGACTGATGGGGTAATATATATATAGCCCATATATAGCCCAAATGCTATATATGCGTGTATAGAGCCTATATATGCTATATAGGCTCTATAAAGCCTATATATGCTATATAGGCTTTACAAGAATGTAACACCTAGACTCCTTCATCAGATTGTGATAGTATGTACTTTCACAATTTGATGTACGTACTTATATATCCTTCTTATAAATAAATAAATAAATAAATTAAGTAATGAAACATTCTGTGAATGGAAAAGCATTTAGTCTGCTAACAAAAGTCAAAAGTCATTTACTCTTGAACTTTCCTGTGTACCAAAATAATATCCATTTAACACTGCATTTTTTTCTCTGGTAGTAAGTTTCATTTACTAATTATTTATGCTTCCAAATATAGAAAATAATTATTATTCCTCACAAACTTTTCTTTCATGAACAGGTGAGTGATATTTTTAACTTTATCCACTTTCCACAACATTACACGGACTGCACAAAAAGAGTCGGAAGACTGGCAAATGACTGTTAATATTGAAAAAATGCAAGACTTTGCATGATGGGCATAACAATGCACTACCAAATCATCATCATCGCATTGCGGCAGATTGACGAGGAAAAGGACTTTGGAGTCTGAAGTCACCAGGGAAAAGTTCAACACCAGGCGACAAAAATCATCCCAAAACTATAAAAACCATTCTCATACCAGGAACGGTTGAGGGCCACAGTCTAAATCAAACAAAACAGTTGACCAATCCACACACTAGAAAATGAAGGGACGACGACGTTTCGGTCCGTCCTGGACCATTCTCAAGTCGCTTTAGGCGTTACATTCAAACAAGACAGGACTGATCTTATAGAAACTTAGAATGCTACAGAGTTTTGAAGACCTTGACCCAGACCACTGCTGTAGAAGGTTACATGTAGCACAGACAAGGGTCAACAGCTTCAAGCTCAACAAGCCACAATATAGGACAGAAAACAGAAGAGGCTTTTTCACCCATAGGCTTATAAATTAAACCCATAGAACCGCCTACCAGTCGAAGCCGTAAATGTCAAAACACTGTTGCAATTTAGGATCCAAATAAGATCATCAGAACAAATTAGGGCACCTATGACAAGCCGCCGGCTTCCTGTATCCGTCGAGGCCACTAGAGATAAAGTCAGGTAAATTACAAATTGATTCAGTGCTGAGCAAACTGTAGATAACTGCCAATAGCACTTGACAGCTCACTCAGCCATGAACATTTTCCTGAGGTGAATCTTCACTCAGCCCTGGGATTTACTCAGCCCTAGGATTTACTCAGCCTTGGAATTTACTCAGCCCTGGGACTCACTCAGCTCTGGGACTTACTCAGCCCTGGGACTCACTCACTTTGGGACTTACTCAGCCCTGGGACAGGCCGTTAATCAGTCTCTGTTCACGTCTCCCAGAATGAAGATATCCTCATCCATGGACGTCCCTTAATCAATCAATGCACGTCCCTCAACCTTTGGCCGTCCCTAAGCCCCTGGATTTTCCCCAGCCCCTGATACGTCCCTGGACGTTCTGCAGCCCATGAACGTCCACCTGTAGTATAGGTGAAACAAGTAGGTTTCAGAGAAATCGAGAGCATTGGACGTTTGCCTGAAATACATTCCATAAAAACTGGGGAAAACTCGGATGGGTTTGGTTAGTGTGGGTTACGTTAGGCTTCATAAAAATCGTTATAACATTTGCAAAAGGTCAAATGTAACAGCTTCAAGCTCGCAAACCAAAAAGTAGGACAGCAAACTTATTATTTATTTTTTTTACACGTGGAATCGCCAACCCGCCGAAGCAGTAAATTTTGTTATATTATTATAAATATTTGTATTGCTTAAATTTAATCGTATACTGGAATAAAACCAGTAATTTTGCAAAATATTTATTTTAGCTTTGTTCAAAACGCGATCTGTACCAGAAGAGACTTAGACGGTTACATGACCGTGGGATAGGCTGCAGGTGGCGGTGAGGAAAATACAGAAATGAATACAGTGGCGAGAAGGAATCAGAATTAGAGGGGAACATTTACCGGAAAGCGTGGGAAAGAGGCACTGTGCCAGATTTATTTATTTTACTTTGTACTATTTATTTATATATGTTATAAATAGTGGGTTGTACTATGGGGGATCTAGTAATAATTTGGTGAAGGGGGCAGCAGTTAAAATAAAGATGTATCTCTAGTAGTGGAGATCAGTAAGGCCCGGCCCCCAAGAAACACAAGAGTAAACTTATAGTGGCTTATTACTGAAATTGTCAGCCTAGAGGTAGCTCATAGATCTCCTACACAGGAAGAATGGATACTCCTTTAACTAACTTACTTATTTATTAACCCCTCAACAACCCCCCCATATACATTCACACCAATAACAATAATTACTTTACCGCACTATCTTACGTTAAAAGCCTTGATCCACATAGGTAGGATATAAGGTTTACAATAG